CTTTTGTTTTATATTTTTGAAAGTGCTATCCAAATGGATCGAATATCCAAACGTAATTTGGATCGTTGGAGAATTCGATCTACAACGGGATAGAAGAGTATTGAATGGCGTCCCTTTAGGGCGATGGGGACTGCGATATCGACAGCATTGGAGTTGTACACGTCTCGTATGCTCCCAAGGTCGTGGAGAGGACTTCTAAAGGTATCCACGAGGTTACTGCTCGTTTTGCTTTAGGAAACGGATAGCCCGAACCCTATCCGAGACACCTAACCCTGCCTCCAAGGACATGAGAATGGCGCCGCTCGCAGCGCTCGGTCGATTCTAGAATTCTTACTTTCAATTTTCTTATGTAGTTGAGATCGCCTGAGGATCCAGCTAAACAAGTATGATAAACGTCGTCCAGCAAAAATATGCACGATCGAGCCATGTGTTGCCGCAGCGATCAGGTCTCATCAAAAGTCCTTGGCAAGGTTATCAACATCGCGGTCCAGATGACTTCGATCCTAATGGGCAGCAAGACCACTACGGATGGCAGATGGCATCCGTGAGCAAGCTTCGTCAGTGACAGCAAGAAGCCATACATGGCGCTCGCGCTCATGGTCAAGCCACTCAAGCACCGACATACGCCAACGGCCATCACGACCACCGACCGCAAGCCATCATGTGGCCATTTCCACCACAACTGCATCGATGCGCAAGTCGCCAACTCGACGCTACGTTTTTCCGCCAGCACCTATAGCCCGAGTACCACACGCAAGCGTTGCTTAGCGCGCGACGCTCAAGAGGTATCATTGTAGGGGAGCAGCGAAAGATTATGATCCAAAACACCATTTTTGCTCAAACTCGACATATCATCATAATGCTAAGTAACCTCTACTGCTACTGCGTGCGTCGATGTACAAGGGTCTCCACGTTGTCAGAAAGATTGCCAACACGGCCGTCATATCGCGAAACTAGGCAATCACGTGTGCTGCAGCGGTGTCGATGGCACGCGAGAGAGGGCTTTTGAAAGATTGATACATAGAGGCGAAATATAGATACCGCTGCGTCAAAACATTCTTAAAACCAAACAGATACCATAATTGGATCCGGAATCACTCTTTTCACACAAGATGTGTTTCGTGGTTTTACACCATAGTTGACGAGTACATACAATGCCAACTATCTACTTGGTACGACGCTACACAGGATTTAATGCGTAGCAACATCGACTGATTCTTCTACATTGTACTAACGTTCGTCTGTGAGGGCCCAGGCATCGCACGTACCCACACAATCCTGCAACTGATCGAGACGGGCGGCGACACGACCCCCGACAGGTCGTTGTTACGTGTACATGCGACGTGGCCATCCAAGCTACTGACCGAATCGTGCTCGTTCAACGACCATTTGTCCCAGAGCAGTCGTAGAACCCAAAGTGTCATTTTCAAATATCATAAACCGTGTATGTTGCAAGTGCACCGCGACTACGCCATGATTTCGACGCCGCAAGAGGGCGGTCGCGGAAGTTTCTCCTTCAGCGAGCGCGGGTCGTTCACTTCTGACGCGCCACCGCTGCGGCCATCGCTCATTGCGCGCGACATCCAGGCCATCCCCGAAGACGACACCAAGGGTTCTCGCCGCTTCAAGGGCCGCCTTCGCGTACGTCCTCCCGTTGCTATATGAATATTAAGGACTCTCGTAGACGTGGCCAGGCATTCTGCTGCTGCTTGGTATCATCGGCGGCGCAATTGCCACGATCGTCTTGATGAGCGCTTCGATGGGCCACGAGGCCAAGGACCGAATGCACGAGATGCAGAAGCGGATCGCGGACGCCCAAGCCATCACCGACGGTGTGACGTCGCATGACGAAGAGCGCTACCTCGTCGAGGACGACGGGCAAATCAATAACCCGCGCGTGTACCCGCCGAGTGGGTGCCAACTGCCCAACTACGTCAGCAAGAATGGACGTATTGTCGCTACCGCCAAGAACGGCACCGAGGTTCCGCTGCAGATCAAGGGCGTCAACTGGTTTGGCATGGAAACGTACGTGGCCATTTCATTTTATTTTTTTATTTTATGATTGTGGAAAATATGTCATGTGACAATGTGTATGTATGTACTAGTGGCCTCGAAGCGCCGTTTGGCCTTTTTGACAACGACAAGGCCGGCACCACTGTGGTACGTTGGCTCGCCTATTTTCCTAACGTTTTGGAGACCCTAAACCCACTATGATTCTAGTATGCGATCGCGCAGTTTCTCGCCAAGAACAAGTTCAACTCGGTGCGTATTCCGCTCTGCGTCAAGAACATTTTGAACAACAAGCCGCACACGTCCTCGGTCATCAACCGCGCGACAAACCGCGCGTTGGATCTGAGCTCGTACTTGAGTCTTCTCCAGTCGGTCACAACGTCACTGGGCTACCGTCAGATCTCGATCATGCTCTCCATGCACACGCTCGACATCCGAAACGAAGAGAGTCCGCTCTGGTACAGTCCGCAGACGTCGGTCGACGATTTCTTAAAGGCGATCGACATGCTCACGGCCGCGCTCTGCTCCGACAAGTACTGGAACGTCCTTGGCATTGACGTCAAGAACGAACCCTCGACGGCAACGTGGGGTGAAGGCGGCGCGAACGACTTCAAGCTCGGCGCCGAGCTCATTGGCGCGCGCATTCTCAAGGG